GGGGGGATACAGATCGATGCCAGCCCGGCCCCAAGCCAGGCAAGAAGTGGCTGCAGGGAATTTTCTGTGGAAAGCCTGGCATCATACCTCATTTAGTTCTTCAACCCCTTTGAAGCTCGCAGGCTTGGAGCGAATGCAGGTGAAACAGAGCTGTGGTCTCCATTTCAGCGCTGCATCCGAGGAAGAAAGCACGTAATGTTCAACATGGAAGGGAGAGGTGGCTGCTGACTCCCTGGGACCACGGAGAATGAGAAAAACATGGTCCCTTTCACTGATTTTAATTAAATAAAAAGAGATTAAAATCAGAAAGGGGTGAAAATGCTGGCTCCTCTGTTTTTTTCATCTCTGGGCTAAACTACATCAGAACTTTAGCTCTTTGCAAAGGGGAGAGGAAAAATAACCACAGAGTAAGAGATTTCAGGGGTCAAGCTGGTGATCTGAAAATACTGCAACAAAGTTTGCAAAGTAGTCCACACGGAAGAGTTTCCCCAGTGTTAAACACGAACATAAAAGATGTAAGAGAACATCTTTGCTGAGGTACTGGAGTAGTTTCCACAAGTTACAGATTACAGTGTTTTTAAAACCAAAGTTAGGGCATGACTGCAACGAGTACAATATGGAGTAATCCGCCTTACTTTTAAAAATAAGAGTTTGCAAACTGATTCAGAGAGTGTTTGCATCATCTCTCTAGTGTACAGTTGTTCATGTATCTCAGAACTATACCCGAGATACATGAGAATTCTCAACACCAAGGGCCTCCTCGTATCCCTCCAAGGCACAGCCTGAGCCCAGGTCCCTCTGGCTACAGCTCCGTAACGGGGTGCTTTCTCTCGAGATCAGGCGTGTTTGGGACAGCTCTCCTTCCCCCACGTACACACAGGGACACACACATTTAGACCAGTTGATCTGAATCAGTTTTTGCAAACTATTTTAATTAAAATATTAACTTGTTGGAATAGTCCAGGTCTGCACATGATATACATGTAAAAATGGTTACTACACAATTCTTTTTGAATACAAAAAAAGCCAATATGGGATAGCCATCATTTGGATTCAGCATTCAGTCATGCTTGACATTACACAAAGAGATGGGCTGAGAGAATTCTGTTGAAGTAGCTCAATTTAAGCCAGAGACTTTGACCAAATTCAAACCATAACAGAAGCAAAAGAATGAACCCACTGAACTTGCAGGTATAGCCTGTCCCCGCTGTCGCTGCTGCTGTTTGGGATAGAGGAGCTGAACTTCAAAACGCTGTGTGAGCGTCATGCTCCGGGCACACCCTCCACACTCACATGGTAAATCCCAATACAGTTTTGGCCTTTCATTTCATTTTTGTCTTTCTAATCCCAGGAAAATACAGGTACCTTTCCTAAATCAGTTTCGCTGCATTTCAACAACACTGCAATGCAAAAGAATGACCCCAAAACATCCAATTCCACATAAAAACATAGCAGAGGAAAGGACAGGACAATTCACGGTCACCACTTGCCTCGAGGGGCAACGAGAGTCACCTCCATGGGACCACCGCCTCATCCCAGGCTTCCATCAACTGTTAGTACTACAAAGCTCCTTACTAAGGGGCTGCTCAAACCTATTTTGGTAGAGTTTCCATCCTCGATTAGAGCGATACGCTACGTCAAGATGCTAGAAATCCTAGTTGGATTCACCGGACACTGGCAGAGAGTTAAGGATTGGGAGTGGATGTTAATTTAGCTAACGAAAGAACGTCGCCCTGTTGAGAGTACTGAACAGCAGCGAGACACTAGAGTATTTACTATATAAATATGTCACGTGGACAAACACATTCGGAAAACCTTGCTTTTGAGCCCTATAAACATATTAAAGGCAAATCCTAGAGTTAGCAGCTAGTGTTTTCTTCAAGATGATTAGTGTGCAAGGAAAAACATTTACAAAGAACCCTGGCTGGTCAGTCCCCAAGACGGAAATCTTTGCCTCAAGCCAAACTTCATCTCCCTGCTCTTCCCCCAGCCCCACAGTCCTGCCTGACCCAGACCGCCCTGGCACAAGAGCACGGGGGCATCTCCGGTTCCCAGCAGTAAGGGATGACACAAAGCCACAAAGTCATTCAGTTAATGAGACCCCCCTGACCCCTTTATCACCGTATGGATTTCACAACCTCCTTTGCTTCCTTTCAGTAGTACAGCAGCTCCAACGAGCCTTTGGAAGTAGTGCCTTCTCGCATGGTGTGATACGCTGCCAAAATATCACAGCATCTCAGGGGACTGTAAAAGTTGTGAAGTATTGCAGCAACGAAAATAATAAAAAGGAGCCTCACATGCAGCAAGATCTACAGTGGTGACATGGGTTAGTCATCGGCTGGGGAAGAGGAAGCTCCTCCTGGTACACCGTGGCAACTAAACATTTAAACAGTTGGCTACACTCTACATGTAAACAGGAAATTGCAACAAGCCAAAAAGGTAATAAATTGGTGGATGTAGTGTAATAATGACAAACCCGATCAATGGCATTTTGTGACTATGGCATCCTTCGAAATACCTCTGGCATTTGAGACTGATTGGCTGAAAGTCTAAACATTTCTGAATGGAGCAAAAAGGACTACGCTGGGCTCCAAGAATTACTCTGATGCTTAGCTAAAATGAGATGTCACAGTATTAGCTGTACAAGTGCATTACTCATGCTCCTCTGCCCAACCTCATCTGAGCTACCAGCAGCACAGTCAGGGAGTGCCAAAGCAGGAATATAATTTCAAACATTTCTAGCCTGTTCCCTCCAGACAGGCTTACCTACAGAGTTCCCAGGAAGCTGACCAGTGCCTTCTGAGAGAACGTCATTTCTTACACGACACGGAATGGGCACTTGGGTAGAAGGGCCCTGCTGAGCCCTGGTGTCTCTTGGCCTCTCTTCTCCCTCTTCTTCCTCACCTACAAGTCTTTGAAAATGCCTCTGGGCAGAGGCAATACCCTAGAAATGTATCCAATTTAATGACAAATAAAAATGGAACAGAAGATCCAGCTGTTCCTCCCCTGGATGTTGGTTTAAAGGCAGCTTGCCTGGTTTTTGCAGGGTGGCAGTTCGAAATTTATGGACACGGGAGGAGGTCTCCATTCTCCCTCAGACTTCCTACTGATGGCATGATGAGGGCAGTCTGAGGCCCTTCTGTCCTGTCAGTGTGACAACCACCAGCCAACTCTTCTGACTAATTGCATATATTTCTCAGACGCCCTCCCAAGACCCCTCCAAAAAGTAAAAAACAACAACAACAAAAAAAAACCAACCAAAAAACCACCCCCCCCCCAAACCCTGCAGCCAAATACTATGACATCCCAGTTAGTAAACACAAAATGTAATGCTTTACAAAATGAATACAATATTCCATGTGCACCCAGCTTCCACACGTCAGCACCGCACTGAGGAGGCTGCTGGGCTGGTGTCTGTAGGCAGTTTCTGTTGGCAGACAGCTCCAGTGGAATTGCCACCCTCAGTTATTGTTTAAGTTATGTATAAGACATGTGTGAACCATTGGATATTTGTGAAGTAACACTTGTGCTCCTGCTCATGCCCTGTTCCGTCCGTCCCCCAGAAGCTGTCCGCCTCAGAGCCTGGGGGCTGTTGCGGACCCCTATAGCACTACTTCGAGGTACCCCCTGCATGGGCCCCGAGGGGTGACCCCATGGCTGGGGTCCACCTTGCATTGGATGGCCCCAAGCTTGTGGTGGGCCACCCATGGGATGACCCCAGTGAGGTCCTGCACCCCCAGTAGGATTGTGGGACCAGCCAGAAGCTCCCGGGTAGCTGTGGCTGAACGCCTCGGGGGAGAGATTAGAAAGAACCATATTACTAAAACCTAGCCTCATGCTTTCTGAGTCAAAGGCTTCGATCTCGCGAGCTTGACGCTCCAGCAGGCTTCGTATCCGTTCGGTACGCTCGTTCTGCAACGCCAGCATCTCCTCCTCAATCTAGGAAGGAAAAAAGAAGAGACAATCTGTAGTAGCAGGACTCCTTTGCAGGCACAGCCTCAAGTCTCTGAAGGATAAGCTAACGAGGAACCTTCTCCCCATGTTTCTACATGAGACTGGATCTAGATCAGACGTCCACTGACACACAATCTGTTCTGAATGTCAAAGGGTAAGTCCCACAGACCTGCACACACCAAAGCACGGTGAGCATCAGTCGGAAGGTCTTGGTCCCCATTCCCTGGTGAATACAGAAGTTGTAGGGATGCAAATCCAAAGTTTGCACTGATACTAACAGCTTGACAGAGATGAATCTTTTAAGATGCAGCAGAGCCTACAGCTTCCATAAAAGCCTACTGGGAAAGCACCTTCAGATACAGTCAAGCACAATGCCTATGCAGTTTAACACCTGCCAACGCAGCTTAACGTGACCTTCACTGTTTGTAGCTGAATCTGATGATGATGACTGCTATTTTCTCCAGGATTCAATGTATGAGCCCACATTCAGTTTCCTCTCCAATGTTCACTTGCCAGATTTTCCTAGCTCGTATTTATCACTTCCTATCTACCCCTTTCCTAAATCGGTTTCTCATCTTTCATTACCCTGATACCTTCTCCAGGGTGTGCGGCTGAAGAAAGTAGGCAGTGATGTTTGAATTGTGTGACAGATTATTAGCTAGATCATATGCAAGTCTGGAAACCCCAATTTCTTTCCTGTAACACTGTTCCAAATGGGCTTCCAACAGTACTTTGGTAGGGGCACTGGGATCAGTTCCCTTAAGTACAGAAAACATGGGGCTATGGCCTCCTGACACCCATCAGACAGGGATGAAAGCCTTTCTTATTGAAATCTTTGCAGACAGGTGGAGAACCAAAGAATCACTCCGTTATCTTCTTGCCAGCACTGAAAAAGCTACGCTTGGCCTCGGTGAAAAAGACCAAATGGGTAAAAAGCATCAGCCAAGACTTTGGGCGTAGCTCACTGGTATGTCCCCTGCTGCCAGCAGCAACGCGGCCAAGAGGTGTTATCTTGGTCTGTGCTGAAGGTACTGGGCAGAGCGTTGTACTTGTAAGCGCTCTCTTGCCTTAGTCAGGGAATACACAAAGTGATTTCATCTGGAATTTAGGAAACAATCTGCTCTAGTGTGAGTCATCTCCTGAGCCATTTGGGGCTTTCAGAAACTGCCTTACCCACTTGCCTGTTGCTTAGCACTAGGTGAGTGACACCGGCTCTCTCCATAGAGCGGCCTCGCTCGCTCCTGAAGCAGTCAGCTAGCTTGGAAAAGGCAGAAGAGGAAGAAGGTGCCTTCTCTAATGTTAGCTCTTCAAAACGCTCCACTTGTTTTTTCCAGTCCTGCTATCTAAGCAGCATCCTCCTATTTCAATGTCTTCAGCACATCCAGCTGCTCACAGCTTTCTGTCTTTGTGACAGCCTGGCACACAGGACTCAGTGCAACTGAACTTCCCAGGAAGGCATGCCTAGCACACTGCATCAAAATGGTATCACTTGGAAGGACGTCAGGACACAGGACTCTGAAGATGAGGTGTCTGAGGCATGTGGGAAGGAAATGAGTAAATCTCAAGTCTTTTAAAGACACTCTTGGGACAGGCTTATTACTGGTGCAACACAAACAACATCACATCAGGGTATAGCTTGTACGGCGCCTCAGGCACTGGCACTTAAAGGCTGCGCATTGATGGGCCTGGTTACTCCCTCCTTCGCCTATAGGCAGACATGTATGCTCTGGCGAGTTACTGTGGTGATGGGCACCATCAAAAATCAAGAGCGCTGTGTTGAGAAGGAAGCAGAGTCCTATGCACACACCAGTTTCTGGAATCTGGTTTATTACTGAACATCGAGGACTAACTTTGCCACAGGCTACCTATATATTCGTGCATCTAAATTCAGACACTCGTCTTGCACACATACCTGCCCTTTCTCTGGCTGCCAGTTTCAGTTAGCATATGCAAGCAAATACCAGGTGACATCGCTGAGCGACCCACACCAGAATACTCACAACTCTTAATTCTTACAGAAACAGACCACCACCTCTCCTCCCAAAAAATACTCTTGCAAAAGAAGGATGCATCTGCCTTTGCACCCACATGTTTTCCCTTGAGCTGCCACTAAGCGACTGTAACCCCGCCAAGAAACACGAGTCTCATCGTTGGTCCGTGACTTTGTGACTTGCAATGCGCCAGGACTGCGCATATTGCTAAATAAACCTACGGAAGTTGAAGCGCCATCCAATTTTTTTTGCTATTCTAAGGCAACATAGGGACACAAACACACACACAAAATTATGCTAGGTCTTATTTTCATCGTTTTTTTTCTCTCTATGAAGTAGCATTGCTAAGCTTCCTATCACCATTACTGACGGTACGTGCTTCGCAGGGGCTTTCTACGCGCAGAGACTTCGGTCCTGGTCCACAACGAAAGACTTATACCCCGTTATTATTGGTTGATGTCTGCTTCCTTAAGTCACTGGCCTCACTTCAACTTTTAACATAACCCTGGGTGCAGTGCAATATGTGCTGGTCCCAGAGAGCAGGGGCAGTGACCAGCAGCAGGCCCACTGGCACACTTCTCCCCAGAGCCCTCTGCAGATCATGCCGCCAGAGGGCAACGCACACCCAGCATAAATACATACTCAAAGGCAGGGCTGGGACCAGCGCGGTCCTCCTCTGGACAGGAGCAAAAATCACCAGGGATGGGGTCTACAGACAGCCATCACACATGTGAACGCCACAGGGGAACTCTGTTTTTGGAAATTCAGTTACTTCCAGAGATTTCACGTCTACTTGCAGGAGCCCAGAGCACAATAGGGCTGTACTGTCTTCTTGGAGATGCTTCCTCGGCTGACCGTGAGATGGAGCAGTTCTATGCAGACAAGGGCCCTCGATCAGCCCAGCATCCATTTGTTAGCCTCTGGGAAAAGTTAAGTGCAAAGAACCTGGAGGCCACAGAATAATTGCCCTAATTTAATAATCGCCGATCAGCAAAGTTGGGAACTGCTGCGTGAATGGCGACGGCTGGCACCCACAGGACAAATCAAAGGGGAAAAAATTTGCAGGAGGATGGCTGATTGTGTATTTCCTTTCATTGACTGGCGCATTACCCTTCCCCTGGTTTGTGTAGGCCACTCACATTTCTATACACACCGCATGTCTGGCACTGCACAAAAAAGTATATTTCAAACGTGGCACCTTAATACACACAGCCAATTACAAGCTGAAAACCAGGGAGCAGCAGGTCACGCATGCCTGTGGGTCTGGCTACTTCAGATTGCTTATGGAAATGCTGCAGACAGCAGCATTTCCATAACAAGCATAATTTCACAGGGAAACTGCAGCCTGATCTCCACAGACTGACAAATGGAGCAGATCTGCAGTAAAATATTACCATAAAAAGACAGGGTCTCAAATACATTTTACCGACCCCCCCCCAAGAGATACCTAACTACTGATACTATGCAAATTCCAAAAGTCTCCACCCTAGCTTTAGGTTGCTGTTGTCTGTCCTCTGATGAGCTGGGGAAGCTCATCTGCAGCTCAGAGACAGAAAGAACAATTCACTTTCCCTTCTCCCCAGGGAGGCACGACTCCCCTTGGCACACTTCAAGCAGCTCTATCCCGGCCAGAAGCTGCCCACATAGGATGGCTGAATTGGCAGAAAGTTTAGCTTATGTGTCACTGAGCTATTATCCCAGGGAGGCAAATACCCAAATGATCTGTGTTACTATATACAGCAAGATAAAAGCAATTTCTCTCTATTGATAAGTACAGTGCAATTTAAGATCTGAAATATGGAGCGTGCTAACGATGCTTGCATGCTCATTTTACCTTCTGCTCGAGGAGGGCCCGGCGGAGGGATACCCTCTGTTCAAGATCACGCAGCTCCCGATCATGCTGGGCTTCTGCCTGCATCTTGATTTTACTCTGATATGCATTCAGCAGCTCCAATTCTTGCTGCAGCTGCATCTTCAAAACCTGGCACTCTGCTTCCTGTGCTTCATCCAAACGCAGCTGGGAAAGGCAGACAATAGAGATGTTTCACTATGGGGTAAGCACTCATGACACTCCGGGGGAGGACTGCGGGGAGGGAGAGAGAATGGGATGGGACTTTGTTTTCTTAGCAATACAATTGGTCTCTATTGTACTTCGTTTCACTGAACAGAGGACCTATAGTGACAAAGACTGGTGACAGTGAGCCCACAGCCCTGATGCAAGTGATGCTGATGAGCAGTGGTGCCTCAGGAACCACAATCCACACTGCAGAGACCAGACTGCTGGAGGTGCTAACATCCACAGCTCTCCTTTTGCTAGAGGCAAAGAGAAGATCTCTTGCTCTGTTCAACCGGATTAACCAATTACCTGTATGCAGGAGACCAAAGTCCATATCCCTGCCAATGGAGGACTTCAGGCAAAAGAATACAATGATATACACCCTAAAAGCAATATGATCCTGAACTCTTAACCTTCCCATACATCAATTAAGCCAGGTACCCTGCCTCACAGCATCAAATTTGTACAGAGGATGCGAGCAGGATGCAATATGCTAGAAGTGCAAAGAAAACTGCACATTCAGTTGTAGTAAGGACTCAAAGCATTGCTCATGTGGTCATTCCTTAAAGAAGGAATCTCTTAAAGAAGAATTCACAGAACTTTCACAACACTTTTACCATTATTTCTGATTTAGAGTCAAAACTCTGGACTCCTTCATGACTCAATGAGCATCTTCCACCAGTGGGACATGCTTTGGTTGGTATAACCGACAAATCAAAACCTAAACAACTTAAGACAGAAAGCTGCATGTTATTTAATGATGCTCTAACAGGGATGTTTATGCTGTCAAACTTCATGTAAAAGCAGTCCTCTGGCGACACAGATGCATCACTTTCCATCTCTGCGACAGCAGCTTCAACTTCAACCTGCCTGAAGGGGGTAATACCTCTTTCCTCTGCATTTGAATGCTGCTTTTTAAATACAGGGGAATGACTGTGCAGGGTATGGCATGTGTAGCAAGGAAGCAGATAGCCTGCTGTCAGGATACAGATCGGTTAAAATGCAAACATCCCTATTTGGCTGAGGAACCCTGGGTCCCTCGAAGGCGACTCACAGCTTGTGTAGAGAGCATTTCATTAATGCTGTGATCATACTGCTCAGCCAGGATAGCCAGCTTCCGGGTCTGCTCCTCCTTGAGCCGTTTGAGGACAGCTTTATGTTCACTCTTTGGCGTGGTCTCCAGCAGATGGTTTCTCAGTGCTTTGTACTGTCTGGTTTGGATCTTGCATGTATCCTGAAACTGCTTCTTTATCTGTAGTTCTTTTGACTGGAAAGATGGAGGGGACACAAACAAAGAAAAAACCAGCATGTTTCAAATGACAGAAATATCCATTCAAATGGATATTCAGGATTACATTAAGGATATGAGTTCAAGAATCCACAAATGTGTATTAACATCTACAGTGCAAGGAGGGAAGCAAAATACACAAGAGGCAATGACTATTGCTGCAGCTGCTTTGACACTGCTACTGCGCGAAACAATTACAATACAGACACTTTTATAACAAAGCTCCAGCCTAAATACAGCTGTCTCTGCACAAAGAGCCTCACATTTGTCACTGGACTGGATCCAGTCCCGGGTGTTGCTTTTCAAGAAAAAGTTCTTGAGGGACAGGACTAATATTTATTAGCACCACAAGCCATACTTACACATGACTGTGCATATATGGCACATATATATGAACAGCACTTAATGTTATGAAAAGAAGCAGATCTGGTGAATGGGAAGGGACTGGGAAAAAGAGCAACACTTTTTCCATTGAGGGTTTGATGAAGATAAGATGTATTCTAACCCTTGATATTAAGAGCCTGGTTTTCATAAAGATATTTAAACATGGCTGCAAAAGATTAGACGCTTGAAAACCTACACCACAAGCAACATTAGTATTGCGCTAGTCTAGCAAACGGAACAACTCCCCAGTCCCAATGCAGGCCTATTGGAGATTGAGTTTTCCCTTTGCACTTGCTAGCATCTCCGAATTGTTTAGAGACATAACCTTGGGATTGCACACAGGGCTGGGAGACATCAATCCTGGAAATAGTATCTGAATCTGATTTTGCTGTATGACCTTGAGGAAATTAATTTTTTTTTTTTTCTTTCACCTGCCTTACCTGCCTCCGGAGCAGTTTGTGAGGGGTAACATCTACTAAATCTTTTAAGACCCTGAAAACGAGGTGTTCCAGAGTTCCCTGTATCTTTCTACAGGCACGCTGGCAGGGATACCTCTAACTAAGCAAAACCCAGAAGTGATGAGCAATGGAGGTTAACTGATAGATAGTCAAGTTCATAATTGTAAAAAAAAAAACCCCACAAATAAACAAAAAACCTCCCACATTAGGGCAGTCAGTACACACTCTGGGGCATCCCCACTGTCAGCCACCATGGTCAAATCTCAAAGCACTGGAGGCAGGAACAGAGCATAGGACCAGGTTCCTGTCCCTTGATTAAGTTGGAAGAGCTCTGGGATCTGAACCAGTAAGGCAGATACAAGTGCACGTCTCCTGTCAGCTCCTGGCACTACCTCAAGGCTCAGCAGGGTAGGTGATAAGCGCAGCACTTGTAGCTACCTCGAAAGATGCAGTGGGACCAGACAATATATCCAGCCCAATTCAGACATCAGCATGCTTTGCTGCATAAACCAACAACTCCACTTTGCTAACCTGATGCAGAAAACAGGACAAAGATGGGTTTCATTCAAACCAAAACCTGTCATCACAGAGAGGAATACATCACTTTTACCCTTTCTAAATTCACAGGAAGTTATTTCCCTCCAGGAAACCTTTAAGGTTGTTTCTCCCTGCCCTTAAGGGAAGTGTCAGCAGGTTACACATTCCTGTCAGGGACCTGGGCACAGCAAAACACCAGCAATCTATTTTGTCCTCACTTTCTGTGAAGTCTTGCTTGGACACCAGGCTCTGTTTATAGGCTTCCAATCCAAAGGCTTTAACAACAGGAAACAGAAGGGAGGGGTAAGATTTCCAGTCAGACTTTGGACAAGATCATTTTGACCTAGTATTGTGAAATACCAACGAGAGGGTATTTGCATCACAATTAACACACTCGAAATAATAACAGAGCAGTTTTCACTGAAGGGTGAATTCTAGTTATCCATCCTTCTGGTGCTGTAATAGTGGCAACAGACACTGACCCTTAAAAACCTGCCTTCAGGACAAAGGACCTCACTAAGTAACAAAGGGAAAGCCTAAAACGTGCCCTTGAGGGAAAACGTTGCTGGAGAGAGAAACTGAACAAATAGCCAAATTATCTATTCAATTAAGAATACCTGCCTGCGTTAGTCAGAAGCAAGAGGAGGAGTTAATACTAGGGAACAGCCTCGATAAAGAAGGGATTGTACTACAACTGAACGGTTGTCCAGCAGGCTGCATTATTAGCACTGTGTGTACGCAAAGGTGCTGGATTGACAGCTCAAGCCTGAAATCCTTCACTAATCGCAGAAGAGCCATGCAAAGCAAAGTGCAAGCTTTCCACGCTCTCTGCAAAGCGCTGCAGCCCTGTCCTCACTGGAAAAGGGAAGGGGTTGAAGAGTCTGCAGAGGTGAGAGGGCAGCCAAGCCTATGCAGCCCAGAGAGACCAGCGATCCCGCTGTCCTGACTGCCAGCCAGGGAAGGAGAACGGACACGCTGCCCACTCCTGTTTGCACCGCGTCACCTTGGGGAGGCAGAACTCATTCATGCTAATCTCAGAAGGATCAACCTAATACAGCTGCTTCAGTTTTATTCAGCTCAGAGTGCAGCACAGCTTCTCTGTGAAGTCATCAGCTATTTATACACCATATCCTTGGAGATTCTCAACAGCGATCAGATGGTCCCTTGTTCTCACAAGCTAGGTTTTCACTATTTAATATTATTTGAATATTGACAATCAGGTTTGGTTTTTTTTTTTTTGCTGAAGTTCTATTTTCAAATCAGTTATTTTCTCTGTAAGAAGATAACTTGCAGGTGGTGAAAACTAAGTCAGATGGGAAATATCACGAGGAGGAAAGACCTAGAACAACAAAGAAACCCCATGCTCAGTATGCCATACACTCATTTTGTTACTGGCACAGCTGAACGCTGGGTGGAGAGAAGAAGTCTGCCTCCTCAAAGGAAATGTACCAGGCAGCTTTGTGAAAGGCCTTATACTCCCTTCTTAGACACTTCAGAATAAACCACTGGACTTCTTTGGATGAAGTGAAGGCTTACAATGAAAACACTAAGAGCCTCAATTACAGAGGCCCTATAGTTCTGGTCAGCCACCGCAGTTACAAGGGCAGCACGAGAAACCCATGGGAGCACAACACAGCAAAGGTCAGTGCTAGGAGCTTCCTGAGGACACCGCAGTTGGCTGGTATCTCTCTCTCTTCCCCCCCACTTGCTAGCATAGCAATCTTAATATAAAAACAATAACAAGGTGAGTTAGCCAAGACCGATAGTGCAGTTCATTTTGATGCACAGAAAAACACAAAGTTTTTTTTTTAAATGACACTGCTTCATTACAGAAAACCAGATTTTATTCTTGCATACGGGGGGAGGATCAGAAAATGGTGTAGGAGGAAGAGGAGGGAAAAAAGGGGCACTGTAAAGATTAAATGCATTTTGAACTACCACAAAAAGGGAGGCACACTGCTGAGAACAATAGCTTCTCAAACAAAATGACTGAATAGTGCTGCTATGGCCTGCCTACAATACACTGCAACCCTGATCACCATTGCTACGGTTCATACGTATGGCGCTTGCAGGGCTGCAGTTGCACCCTGGCAGTTACACAACTTGATAAATACAACGCTTTTTTAAGAAGGGATTCATTACAGAATGAGACACCTCTTCAAATTAACAAGCTTCACAATGCCTTGGGACCTACATACACTGCAAATGAGAACAGGGCTGTAATGTACCACTTTTCCACCACCACCAGCAGCTCGTGCCCAGAGCTCCTACATCCCTCAGTACCTTCAGGCTCTTGGGCTGCTGCCGGACCTCCATGACGTGCTTACGCCTCAGCTCCCGCTCCCGGCGTTTGTTGTATTCCAGCTGGTTGGTGAGCTCGGTCTGGTGCTGGAGTCGGATCAGCTCACAGCGCATCTTCTGGATGGTACTGAGATGGCGGAACTCCAGCTCCTGCATGGACTCGTGCTGACGCAGCAGCATGGCATGCTCCAGGTCCTTCTGTGTCTGCCTTTTGTTTAACTCCTAACAGAAGGACAGAGGGAATTATTAGATTCTTTGTACTTACTTGGATTTCCGTTCACAAAATGACATTTCACTTTGTTCACAAGGGCATTTCTCTCTTTCCAAGGCATTTGAGGACAGAGCACAGAGTTTCTACATCTTATCAGAAGCAGACAGCACCGCCACCGGTAATTTTTCCTTCCTCATTTCACTTTTCTTCTTCCTGTCCTAGATGCTCAACAGGATTCACAGTAAGCATTTTCTGGAAAGGACTGTAACTGTTGTGTCTGTTGACTTTTTGCATCTAACAGTTCTCCCACAATAGAGCACTAATCGGAACATTTGATTTCACATCATCCATCTGGGATTACCAGACAGCGCTGCAAAACATATCGAACCGTTATTTTACAAAAAAACTTTAGATGTGGCAATTAACACTCCAGTGAGACTGGAGCTGGATTGCAGGTGCTCCTGTGAGATCCATTTCACACAAGTGGTTCCAGGTCTCATCTCTGCCTATTCTCTTACCTCCCGAACCAGGTCCTGCTCCAGATTATGGCGGCCAAGGAGCATCCGTCTCTTAAAGCGGCGACACTCCAACTCCAAGTACTGCCTCTGACGCCTCAGTAAGTTGGCTTCTTCCTCTGCCTGGAAATGCTGGATGTTCTCCTTCTGCTTGGAGAGCCACTCCTGCTTCTCCTTCTTTGGAGTGCTCTGGTTTTCATTCAGCTCCTGATAATAGTAAGGTAATTATTAATTGTGGAGTAGTCACATTAAGATCCTTGGCCTTGAACAACTGGATGGACCTGCCTAATAAACTACATTTCAAAGCCATTTCACCTTGTCTTCTCATGGCCGGTACCATCCCAGCCTCTGCAAAATGCATCATATCGCATATCTAAGGGAACATCAGGAGACAATTCACAACGGAGCAACTTTAACTACAACTCCTTTTTGTGCATTAGCCATTTTAACTGGCCAAAATGCTGGTTTATGGACAGTTTCCACACATATATATTTGCTCAAAACGTAAAAATGACAGTGTGCCACTGAAAACAAAGACACTTGGAGGTACCGCCAAACTGCCTGACAAATGTTTTTATAGGCTCCCAAAGGACCGAGAGGAGAAGGAAAGCATTGTCATCCTGTTGTTCAAACAAAACTCCAGCCACATGATGCACATTAGAAAATTTTTGCGTCTTGCTTGATCACAACACATACACATTTTATAAGTAACGCATCAAGGCAGAGCAACTCGCTGAGATGCCCTGACTTACAAAAACAATATAAAGAAGTTCACAGGTGAAACTTAAGGCCATAGTTTGCACATTTGTACTAAATTCAATACATAGCTTGAAGCACCTTTGGCAAAAGACTCTGCTTGTCTGAATTGCCTGCTAGAGATGCCTATACAGTAACTAGACTTGTCGGGATAGATTTCAACTTCAGCATGAGACAGAACTCCTCTGTATTTCATCAGTGTTTCTTGGTGCTCTGTGATCTACTGCCCACTTAGAAAAAGATTCTATGTTATTATAAAAAGCCCACGCTACTATAGTTTTTGTTAGATCTTTCTTGGCTCTGCTGCTCTTCAGCCTTTTTTTCTCCTGGGAAATGTCTATGTTTGGGAATATTCCCCTTTGGAGCAAGTTCCAAAGCTGTGTCGCACAAGTTGATGACTGAGGGCTAAATGGTTCTTTCAAAAAAATTATTTATAGTGCTTATGGTTTCAGCCACTCCACAAAAAGAATCGGGAAGTTTGATTCTACAGTTTCTCTGCATTTCACAAAGGTCATGATTTTCACTACAATACAGTGATTATTAAACTGTTACACAGCTTTGTCCATTAAAATTAAATAGTGTTTTACAGATATTTCCCCTTAAAAAAAAAATCTGCAGGTCATATTTACTGCTCTGTTTTCTGGCTGCTGCTAAAGAAATATCATTTAAGTGATAAGAAACTTCACTAACGACTGCAGTGCAGGGTCAATATCTGCAGCAGCAAGGTATGAGAAAAATGCTCATGGCCTTTCTTAAACTACCTTTTTTCACTCCTTAGGATTGCCAAATTTGCATGTTTCTGGCTAAAAAATAATATTAACAATGGAGAGGTTTGTACTTTCACAAGATAAACATATAGGTGCCAATATATAAATAAACCCTCTTACTCTAAGGTCAAAGATATGAAACAAATACAGTATGTACAGGACTCTGCTCATGAAATGCAGAACTTGCTGCAATCCAGTGAAAGATCTCTTGCGCACAGCGGCATTTTTATGTCTGAGTGTTCACGGCCCTCGCACTGTATTGTACACAGTACTATATTCACATTTCTCATTACAGATGAGTTACCTCTTTCAGCTGCTCTTTACGGAGTTTATATTCTCTCTTTTGGGACTCCAGGAAACTGTTCAACTCTTTTTTCTGTTGGGCCTGAATATGCTGTTGAAACTTCTTTTCTTCATTGGCCATCACTTTAGCCTACAGCAAATCCAGCAGAAAATCAGTTTGAGTCCCGATGGATTATAGCTCGTGTTCCATTTCAGCCCCAAGACCCGGAAACTCATGGTACAGTCACGACGATACTCACCATGACTCTGAATAAACGTGAGTCTCAGGAGCTTGCCCTCACTCTCTTCTCATTCCACCCTCCCATCAATGCACCCAGCAGGAGTCCTTTTCCAGTGCCTCATTTCCTCAGCCCTATTGTTCAGCTAGTCTCGCCTAACGAAGTCAACGCCTTATGATAAACTATATCCTTAGCCTTCCACCGAGAGATCCAAGATGAACAAAGAAATCAATAATAATCGCTGTAGGCGGCACCACTTCATTATCAATTATTTAAAAGCATAAAAACCCCCATATCCATAAGTAACTAGACTGTGAACATTTAAGCGTAGCTGGCACGTTTCTCTGCAGGCTAATCTGCCTCCATAACACTTGATGGCAGTCAGTTATTGACAGCACATACATAGCAAAAAAAAAAAGGAAAACCCTTACAGTATTTTTTTCTGGGGTCAGTATGCTAACATTTAGTATAACGCACTGTGATGAAGGACATACCTTTCCTCTAGTTACATAAACCCCTTAGTGTAAGGAGGTGATGTATTAGCCTTTTTCTAATTAGCAATTTGCTTGGCTCCTGAAAACAGACATGTAAGAGACTACAATGTCATCTCTTCATCAGTGAGGGGAAGTGGACAATTCAATGTAATTAACAAATATAGACTGGTCTGCTAAACTGTAATCTCCTACCTCTTTTTCCATGGCTGCTTGGTGCTTTTTAATTAGCTTTTCCATTTCTGCAGCAAAATTGTTACGCTGTGTTTCAAGATCTTTGTCCAACCTGAGGCGATGCTCGTCCATCTCTGCCTTCAGTTTATTTTCTAATGCCATCAGTTGCTTCTGGTGTTGCCGTCTCATACGTTTATAGCCAGACATCTGCTCTCGGAGTTCAGAGTCTTGTTCATGTTCCTGCATTTGCCTTGTCACCTAGGAAGATAACCACATCGGGCCAAAGTAAGTTAATGCTTCTTAATCTGCTTTTCAGCAGTCTTCAAACCACAAAAGAAAACTATTCGGTAAAGAAATATGATTTTGTTGTAAAGAAAAGCACACACCCTAATGGCAGCAGAGCAGATTAAAAACTGAATTCTGCTGTAGGAGATAAGCTCACATGGGCTCCAGCAGAAAAACTGTGCAATTGTTACAAAGCTGGTACTAAATAATGTGTTTTTAGCCCACTGCAATAAGGGTGCATATACACATACACAAATATACATAAAATGCATACGAAAATAAAAGCCAGCTTATTATTATAAATGGTTTCCGATATTCTACTAGGCATATTGGTTTTGCAAATATCTAATATACACAAATTACATTTGCCCAGGTGTCACATTTAAGCTTTTATTAACTTACATTAAACTATCTCAGTCAACGAGGACAGCTCATATTCTGTTGAAATCCTAAAAGCTCTAAGTAGTTTCACAAAGCTATGTCCAAAGGCATCCCTTCCTATACAACTTCACCAAAATAAAAACCTTAACGTACCAGCGACGCTGTGCGTATAGTAGCAAAGTGCTCTCGGTTGCGATAATGAGACTTGTGGCGAGATACTTGGGGAGGAGATTGGGGTTCTGATGCCCTCGTTCGAGGATCTGATTCCTCTCTGTAGTTTTCTTCCTCCTTATCAGCAAATATTAACATGAGAGAATAAAGAGAATCTGTGTTACTAAAGATTTTTATTTTGGTCTAGTTCAAAAGACATTTAAAAGGAAGAAAAACCATTTTACATTCATCAGCCCTGAAAGATCCTCCTGCCAATAAGCTGGATGAAGGAATATACTGCAACAAGAGCCCTGATCTAGGATCTTCGCTTTTGGAAATTTCATTGTGCACTTTTATTACTAAAAGGAAAACTACTAATTAAATCTGAAAATGAGAAAAATAAATGGAAAACTGAAAACTGAGTTAAACAGTTTACTTCAACAAAACATAAAAGCTATAAAGTAGATTATATCAATTCTGAAAGACAAAACCCTGAAAGACAGAGGAAGATTTTCATTACACCCACCACAGAAATACCTCAAAGCAAATTTTAAATTTTGTCATGGTGTATTCCACATTCTTATTTTGAGTTTGTCATTCATCACAGAGCAATTAGTAGTTAGATATGATATACTAATTAACACCCCGAGGAAAATACCTGTGTCTTTGTTGCATATCTAGGCAAAGAACAAAACATTCTAACCACACCTATCATTAGGTAGGGAAACGTTACTGCTTTGAGAAAACCCCTCCACGGCAAGAGCAGCAGCGTTCAGAGGGACGCTCCCCAGTTTATCCTTCATCGTGTAGAGGTAAAGCAGGGGAAGCGGTTTCACAGCTTGCCATGGCCAGAGCACATTTCTTTTTCCATGCAACTTTGTTCATTAACCAAATAATTCGAATCAAGTGCTGGGAAACTAGGTGCTTTGGGAACAGTTCAGCCACTACTGTGGGTCCTGTATTTAAGAATTCACTACCTAGGAGGTAAAAAAGGGGAACTCTCACATACTTTTGTCCCATGAAGCACTGCTCTGCAAATTAAGGGCATCCACTAAATCTATCCACAACCTACCATTCTAACTCTTCAGGGTAAAGCAAACTGCTTTTGAAACAATTCGATTAGTAAAATAATTTTCAGTGAATCAACAGAAATGAATGATTTTTACAGCAACCCTCCAAAGTTTCCAGCGCACATTAATATATTTGGGGCACAACATTAGAACCTGCAGACAATGACTTAGGATAGGAAGAACTTGACTTTTTGTCATCGTGCCAACCAAATCCTCTCCTGTTTTACATCTTCAAAGTTATCCAGTAAAAATCCAAAGCTTACCGGCTTTAAATGAATGACAGAGCTATTTGACATCACGGTGTGGTCCCCCTCCATCATATCCAGCTCGCTCTTATCATCCGAGGCATCTGGAAGACTGTTAACACTACTGCTTTGGCTACTGGCACTGATAGACATACTAGGAATGGACTGATTACTCCCGACACTATTCACTGTTCCTGTCCTGCCAACACCGTGATCTTGTTCCTAGGAGAAAGGAATTATTAAGAAAACCCAAATCCATCACAGTCGTATCTATGGACATTACCAAATGAAATGTTCATTCCATTCCTTTCAAAAGGCATCTACCTGCCACGTCATGGCAGTTCCCACCCTCCAGGCATTGCCATGACACGCTTCTCTTGTTGGATGCTGGGGAGAGAAAGAATCAGCCTTGTCAAGATTAACTGGCTGATGCCAGATCCTTTTCAACAGTCAGCCTGTTAACAAGCTGAACTCTATCATGTATCAGCAACAGCGTGTCACCAGAAACTGTTCTGACACCAGCATCATCTAAGTGCTCAGCCGGGACCCTGCACCTCGCACAGTTCCTTTCTGTACACGAGAGAACTGCAGTTCAGAGAGTCTCAATTTCTGCATGGTGATTGCAGCATGCATTCCAAAAAAGACAAATTAATTTCTCTGATGATTTTTTTTTTTTTTAAAAAATCAAATACAAATTTCTATGTCTTGGACTCAGAACAGCATTCTCCAGCCAAAACTAGAAGGCTGTCAAGGGCCTTATACATACGGTCAAAACGGAGGTTAACTGCAGTTGCTGAAAGAGTCCTCATGAAGCCTTATAAACAGGCAAAGAAAGCTAGGATTTACAGAACTGGAAGCTAACTGTTCAAGCAAGAACACATGGCACAGCTTCTTGCCAGCACTCAGCATCTACCCTGTTTGTCCTTGTTTGTGCCTTGAGGTTAGCTTTATTCCAACCACAGAGAGGAAGACAGAGTTTACAGCCAGGTGTTTAAACAGCCTCCATTTGTTCTAGCGATATCAGAGTTGTGGTTATTTAAATGACAGCATCATTCTCTGGTTCAGTGATGAAACCCAAAGTTTCTCTCACCTCCTCCTCCTCCTGTGTTTCGACTGCAGGGCCATTATGCGCCTCCTGGAAGAGGAGCTTCTTCATTTTACGATACTGCAGGTTGTCCAGTTCTCTCACCGCATCCTTTGTTCTCTGAATCAAGTCTATTAACACTGTTTCGGGCCGCTCCCGAAGAACAAACATGTGCTGTAGAACACACAAATAGGTGAGTGACCTCTTATGCCTCCAGCACACATGCTTTCAGGATACAATTATGAGCTCTAGTTGGGTTTGTCAGCCCTCTTCCCTGCACAGGAGGAGAATACCTTCACAGCTTACGTCGGCACTATTTTTACACTTCATGATCCAGACAGATTTCAGAAAGATTGTTTTCTGATGGGAGACATCCACCAAAAAATAAACACATTAAAAAAACCTCCCAGAAATGGTAGTTCACATACCACGAAAACGGGCTCAGTTTAAACCTAGACTTCTTTGGTATTGGGGTATTTAGAGACATTATCTACTTGTGGTTTAGAGCAGGAGGAGCAACAAATAACATATAAATGCTAGAGGTGTTAGGCTGGTTAGTGCCTCTAACCAAATGCTAATTAACTCACCAGCTAACTCTCACTATAAAACCCTTTTCCTTGTTTAGAAAAGCTTGATAATCAAATATTTGGCATACAGCTCTGAGTCATAAAATAGGCTGTGAACCTTCAAGCCTGGTCCTAGAACAGTTAGCCATATTATGCTCTTTTTTTGGAGATATTCACTGCATTTCACTGCAAAGGTAGCTACATTTTGCCAATAGGTAAACCAGGTCCTGCCTATGTATGTCAGAACCAGCTTTTGCAGTCTCCAGATTAAATGTGCTGTGCAAGCATGAGTCATTATTAACACCACCGCTAGCTTCATTTTGTTCCTTTGGAGAACTGCATTGCCACTTCCAACATGTCACATTCCCTACCTGTCCCTCTAAAGTGGCATGCAGCTGTTTCAGACTATAGATATGGAAGGAATACATTCACAAATGTTTAATTCCCATCAATGTTCTCTTTAATTGCAGTATATTGCTCAAAATAAAACCAATTTGCAGAATTCTGAAACGGCAGGACTACACACCCACACCAAAACCTTTACTGGATAACTGCACCTACTTTCTGAATACGCAGTTTTTAAAGAGGTAAAAGTCCTCAGAACTATTTAAGTATAAACATGCAAAAAGGTGACAATAAAACCTTCATAAATAGCATCCATTTCCCTGCAATGCAAAATTTTGGAAAACTGCCGTTTCGCGGAAACATGCTGGGATAAAAAAAAAAACAAAAAAAAACAACAAAATAATCTCACAAGCACCTGGAAGAAAATGACAAGTTAACAAAATCTTGAATGCCACCTGATGCCACACAGGAAACCCATCAAAGCCACACTTATAATAAAGCAACTCTAACACCTAACTTCTATGCAAGCTACATTCCCTTAGGAATGCATCAGCTTTTTGCAACAATCTACCACATTGGCTTTGTTTCCAGACTACAGCAAGGAAAACCAAGTATCTGCAGCACACAGGAGCACAAATGAAGGGAAAAAAAAAACCAGAAAAAGTAAGAAATAAAGCAAGAGAAAACCTGCAGACAGCTGATGCTTATTCATATCAAGGAAAAGTATGGGGAAGAAAAACTGCTTTCCTCTGCCCCCTTTCCCCCAGGGATCTATTAGAAGAGCAGATTTCAGTTCTACGTGTAAAGCACATAGGTGATGGGAGAGGATAAAAAGCCTTTAGGGGTATATATAGCATAGAATAAAGAGGGAAGTAACGGAAGGTATTTGTTAACTAATGCATGGCAGCTCTGTCAGGATTAATTATGATCACTGGAAGGATAGACTGAGCTTAAGGAACGAACTCTTGACAAGTTGATGGTCATCCAGTGTCACTTTATAAGGTGTCCTTTTACGATGAGAACAAGGTTGGCTCCGAGAGTCACCTGTGGGACTGCCTGAGACACTGCAAAGGGGCAGTAAAGCTAGGACCGCCAGCTCCTTACACTCCACAGCAATCTCAGCTGAAAGGTGTTAGGGATAACGAGCTGAGAGAGCATCGTTAACTGTAACCTAGTACAGTAGGTGAGACAGAACACCATCGTAGGGCATGGCCTCTTTTTAATACCATGTGGAAAACAAAAAGGACAAGCAAGCCAACCTTCAGAAGCTCCTCTGATGTAGGCCTGTCTTGAGGAATTTTCTGGAGGCAAGAATCTACGAAGTTTCGAAAATAATCAGACCTGTGGCAAGGACAGGAAAAAAAAAAATCCATCTGAGTTAACGACCCAGTTTAATTCATTAAGGAATCAAGATACTCGCATCTGGGCGCTTCTAGCAGAAAGATCGGGGAGAAACCACACATACCCAGTAGTTCATACTACAGCCTCTGACATCCCTAGTCAAGCCAAAGCCCACCGCTATTAGTAGACAGATCCCTTTAACCTCAGCTTCCAGACAAAATGTTTCAGCTCAAGAACGCAAAAATATGGGCCAATTCAAGAGGAAGGAAAGTTCCATACAAATGCAGACACCCATATATCTCAGTGTGAGCATCAACCCTGTCAAATTCTATATTGCACAAATTCTTCAAGGTTTAATCAGAGTCCCTGCCCTGTCCCACCTCTGTGCGCAGGTGTTTCATCCGCAAACTGTATTAACACACAATTCCTAAAATGCCTTTGGCCCCTCAGACACAGCTTGTACACTATTGTGTCATCTGTCACAAGTAAGACTTAAGGTCCTGATTTGTTTAGTAATTTCTCTCCTTCTGTCAGCTAAAATTCTGTATTTTGCCCTTTCTTTCTCTGAACACAGGTTTTCAGAAGGGCAGGATTATACCCTGAAAACAGCGGCACATCAGTTGTACAGGTTTTATTTCTTTCCTCCCTCACTGCTTCCCCCTCTCGTCATGTAATGGGGGGTTTTGCTACTGCAATTTTCCAGTAAATTAAATTATTGCATTTTTTGGTCAGAAAAATGCATAAAATGAGTTGAAGGTGTTGTTAAGCATCAGGGTGTGAAACAGCCTAACCAGAAAATCTCAGAAGTAGAAAAACATTTCTAAAAATGAGGTACAATGTATTATGTTAGCAGCCTAGGACTGTGGCTCAGAAAAAACATAATTAGGAAGTTTTTAACTTTTGAAATTACTCTGTTTACTGTTTCAAAAGACAGTTGTTGAGGCTGGGAGGCACAAAACGTTACTACTGTGCTTTATTCTTCTGAAGTTTATGCAACAGACACTTGCCACACACAAGCAGTTTCTTCATCTTGCAAAGCAATACTTCAACAAAACAAGATTTAGGAATTGATAGTGTGGTTTGTGACTAAAAAACACTAAAAACCACATTTTTGGCTAGCCTGGGAGCTTCAAAAGTTTACTGACCCAGGAACCGAATTTTTTACAGGATCTTATGTTCTGCCAGCAGCATGTCCTGTTTCTACTACATTCTAGAGTCTACAATGTATATTTAGCAATTGGTCAATTTTGTACATAAAATGTATAGTGAACCTAGTAAGAACCTTCCAGCTCACATCCTCCCAACAGGAATCCAGCCATTTCAAGAACTCAGCATGACAAAGCACTCCATTTACAGCAGTCCCCTACAACATTCCTCCCTCAGTAATACTCACCATTCATTAGACTGTAGTGTAGGGGATTCATTCTGCGCTATGTGATATAAGGCACTCATTGCGTTCATATTAAACAAAGGAGGCTTCCTTTCCGCTACACACAAAAGAAAATAATTTTTATATAGGGAGATAGTCTCATGTTTTTCCTCTTTTTTAGTTTACATCTCTTTAAAAAGAAAACCACATCAGCAGAATCACTATTGCCTGAACACAGAACCCCAAACCAACCCTACCCTGCAATCAGACAGATATGCTGGCATACATCCTATACCATTGCAGAAGATGAAAGCACTTTGAAGATCAAATGCCTTGTCCTCTCAAGCTTTTAAATTACGCGGCTTATCATAGTTGAGCTCTCTGACTCATTTTAATGTAGTAAAGTAGGAGTAAGTTAACAGTAAGCTCTATACTTGGTGTTTAGCCACTAAGCATTCCTGGTTTCATACCCCCTCTCTTTTTTATTTTTTTAAACTACAGTTGCTAAAAAGCTAACAAATATTTAATTCTAGCAGGACAGCAGTGATGAAGAAAAACCTGGTTACAAGAACCATCAAATCATGCTTAACTGACTAAGCACATGGGCAGGAAGTCAGTAACAGGCCAACTCTTTATACTATTTTGAGAGTTGCATTCTCTTTGGCTCTCCTCTCTCTTTCAAGCTTGTGTTACTCTTATAGACTGACACAGCATGAAAGCTTAATGAGGAAGGAGATGATCTCACTGTAACAACAAAATTGAAGCTTCATCAGAATGTTTATGGGGTAAACCTTTAAAGCTCAGCCTTGCCATAAGCATTCCAGAGAAGCTGGTCAGGCCACGAGGACGTTCCTACAGTAGTGAAAATGCAACAGAAAAAAAAAAACAAACACTTTCCTTCCTGAAAAAAAACAAACAGAGAAAAATAATGCTAGTTTTCTTATTCTGCTTTTCAATTTTGAGTTGAATTGTAGCAGTAAGCTATGTATCAGAAATCACCCATCGCTATCACAGGATGGACTAAGCCCTACAAATTCCTCAGAATGGGTAAATTGAGAAGATAAGCCTTTCCTCAAATGTAGCACTTTGCCTACTCTAATCTGTCAGATAACTGGTTGCTGCTATCAAGAATCAGACTGATTATCCATTAAACTATTTTAACTGACCCCTTAAACTATTTTAACTGACTGTTCTTCCTAGCTTTTTTTCCTCTTAATTCACCTGAATAAAATAGAAATCTTCAGGAAACACTGAAACTGAGCCCTCAATGATGCCATTTCTAAGACTAAGTGATAATCTGAGAAGACTACTAGCCATCTCATTTTTCTGCTTTCTTCCCATGCTTATTCAAACCAACACAAATGAGATAACCACTCCGACCCAGCCTACAACGCTGTACCGTCCTGACCTAGTCTCACCTCCCACCACGCTAGAAGCCATAGACGAAGCCTAACGCTTCACATTGCAAAAACGCAGCGTGCAGGAAGGCAGCCGGGGGTGTGGTGGCCATGAGCTCACTGCATTCCTGGAGCGCTGCAGCCAGTCAAGGCTCCTTACTCCGCTCGGAGCAGGATTCTGTCATGACAGCCACACCCCTTCAACTGGCTTTATATTGGCAACCCAAAAAAAAAAAAAAAAAAAAAGTATCTCTGCTCTGAAGAAAGACTCTATTCCACGTCCGGGAAGAAAATGAAGTTGACAGTTTGGAATGCCAGACTGCATTTTTAGCTAAACTGTGCAGTTCACATGGATTAGTGTGTTCCTGAGTGCTCTCGCTGCCCGGCTGGGCTGCTCCTCCGCCGAGGTCGGTTTGGAGTAGGAGCAATGAGATCTGACAAGGATGGTAGGACAGCCTCAGGTGCAACGAGCAGCACTGAACCTCACCATCCCCAGAAAAACTTACAGCTAAGTGCTTCTAGAGAGCTGGATCCTGACTAAAATCTGAGTAGTGCTGTGCATGATGTTGTGCTTCAATGAGTGTACTTCTGTTCCAAGAAAATATTACATGTTAAATTAAAATAGAATGCCATACTAACACAGTCCTTCTAAACTGACATTCTGCTTTAAGGAGTCTTTTCTAATGGCAATGCTGTCATTTCTTTTGGGTTTGATTTATAGGTTACCACTTCAAAACTGGATTATTCTGTACCTTTTTCTTTTAAAAAAAGAAGGTATTTTCCAGCCAAATCCATTCACAAGTGATAACATACACCGAATATAGCTTTGAGACTGTCCACTTATCCAAAACTTCATTACTGAAGGACTTGTTAATGTACCTTAAATTTTCATGCAAAAAATATCAACTTATATTATTAAATATATTTTCACACTGGTACTTTTAATAGTTCATTTCTAAAGCTTCAGTAAATAACTTCTGAAAAGAAAAACAGTTTAACTGCTTCTCCCACAGAACATGAACACTTTTAGTGATATAGCTTGGCTATTTTCTTTGTCTATATAACTCTTTTTCTTCGGGTAGTGAAAACATCAGTTCAATAAACATCAAATTGGAGACTTGGTCTTGAATTCTAGAGAGGACACTTAGCTCTCTTCTCTAAAGCTCAAGTCCCAGAGAAACCAGGACAAGGAAGGAAGGATAGATCTTCTGCACTGTGATTCAGCTGAGTACGTTCTAGGTATTAAATAAATACATTTTATAATTTTTCCAAGAAAGTAACTTACCTAACTCAATACAGGTAATTCCAAGAGACCAAACATCTACTTTGCCATCATACTGCCCTTCATCCATGGCTAAAATCACTTCTGGGGCCATCCTAAAATAGGAAATTGGTGCTCATAAAATTCTGGCCAACGGAACACATTATCATCATCAGTATTTCAATGAAACAGGCTATTTCACCGATTTCAGCTACTATAAACAAATCGTTTCCCAAGGTATCAGGCATGAACATGGGATACTGGGAACAAAGACCAGGCACCCACACTAGTATGAGCCTGTAGAGAGGCTGCACGACGTTCTCCTGTGCTTTGCCCAGCTCTCCATTTACGAGTATCACCACCTTCTCGCCCTCCCACATTTCCAATAGTTCAGCTGGCTGGCCAGCTCTGGTGAAATAACTATAGCATGCAGTTGTGTAAACACCACAGATTAGGTGTAAGAGATCAAAAGCATACAAGGGATCTGCAAAGGGTTTTGTTCAATGAACCTGGCCTTTCCTATGAAAGAAAAAACACTTCAGTTATTTCAACAACCAGACGCAGTGAGAACATACGCATTGTTAAAACCACTGGGGGGAGGGATTAAAATGTATTACAGATGATTCAATCCCACCTCTACCACTTAAAGTCAGCATTAAGTAGAACAACAAAGTATTTTTATTACTGTTTGCGAACTACAAACAATAAGGATTCACAATTTCTTGAAGTCAGAGTCTACTTACTATTTAATCTTTTTTTTTTTTTCTTTCCAAAGTACGTGTTATCACTACCACAACCAGAAGATTCCAAAGCTAGCTCCAATAAAGCCCAAGTATGTTAAATATCCAATAAACGATCCTTTTACTTCACAAAGTCAGAAATGCATAAAACTCTTGGCTTACCAATATGGCGTCCCCACAAATGAGTTGGCAGGAGATGCTATGGAAGCAGACCCAAAGTCAGCAAGTTTCACCTGTCCTGGCTCTGTCAGCAGGATGTTTCCTGCCTTGATATCTCTGGTTACAGAATACAAGTGTCAGTATCATTCCTCTCCAAACAAGAAAACCTTCTATAGGACAGACTACAAAATACACCAGTATTCACATGTTCAAGCTGCAGAATACCCACATTTCCTCCAAATACAAAAATCTTTAACCTTTAGGTTAATTGCTTAACATGGCACTTCAACTTGGAATCTAGTTTGTCTTAAAAATCAACTTAAAATGGCACACCTGGATAAGCTTCATACATAGTTCAGTAAAACCTTCTCAACCAACTATGTACTTTGTAAATGTTTTTCAGAAAGTCCTAATAATGTAACTATTCAAATCCTTCATCCTACTAAAATGCAGCAGGTACTTTAAACACAAAGAACATTTGCATCCTGTACTTACTGTGTGCTTCTCAACACGTGTGTTCATGTCAAACTAATTTTTTGAGTATTAGTGCTCTTCCCTCCCCAGTAATCTTTGCCTTGCAGTTACTACAAACTATTTAGGTGAACACAGCCTGCCTTGCTATTCACTCCTTCAGGGAACAATCAGCATTGTATCAAGTATTGAAAAGCTTAGCAGATTTAAAGCAATTCTGCAGAAATGATGAACACCAGCTGTAAAAGATAGTGCATGTGGAGATACATAGTTTGCTAGTATTTGACTACTATAAATCACTAGTTTGGGACCGTATGGGCACTGCGAAAAGAAAATCTCTGCTTACAAATACTAAACTTGGGATGAAGGGGATACAGTTGACAAAATAAATTACCTGTAAGTGTGTGAGACAGCAAAAGTATAACCACTTACCTATGGATCATATTGTGAGAATGCAAGTATGCTAATCCCTGGAGAGCACCATGGGTAATTGCTGCTATTTCCACTTCTTGCAATGGCTTTTTATGAACTTAAGGAAAGAATTTATTTGAAATTCAATATTAAAAACAATGCAGTTTGCACCATGCGAGTACTGTTAACAATGTAAACAGAGAGAAAATACTAAAAGCTCATTCTTACTAGGTTCAGTATGAGAAGCAAATGTAAAAATAGTTCACAGCATACATTCTGTCATGAGATGTAATCTTCTAACTGTAAACCAGCAGCTATTTGCTATCAAAAAGAGACTACTTTGCAACCATAAACTACATTCCTGTCAGTTCTGTGACCATTCTCCCAAACACCTATTTGAGACTCAATATTCCAATTTTCCATTACTGAAGCTAAATCCCAAAGGCTAGAACTTTACAATTCACACATGAATAAACTGTAGCAATACAGATGACTCTCCGGCAGCTTAGCCCTTTGTCCTGAAATGCTTCTGGCAAGGAAAGGAGTTGAACAACTTACTGGCCACACATATATCTTCAAGAAAGTTCACTTCAAGAAGCCTGATAGAAAAATGACCATTTAACAGAAGATCTCATCAAGCAAAACCCTAATACTGCTGCAGTGCTATTTTAGTCAATAGGCCTACAGATGTTAGTAAGCATTAGGATCAACAGCAAGGGTTTTCAGAAATTGATCTTGAACTGTCATGACAGGAGAACCTAAAACTCAGAAAATAAATAGCTGACTCACAACTTTAAAATAATACAAACCAAGGAGAAACCAGGCACCTAGGAAAGCCAATATTCTACAGCAAAAACATTACAGCCATGCAAGAATTTGAAAAACCGCACCTGTTCACACACACTCTGCTCCCAAATAAAACTATATACTCAAGAACAATTCTGTGATGCTGTAACCTCCTACTTCAGTACTATACTCTGACTTTCAATCAAATAAACGTGCGTGACATACCTTCTAGTAAGTCTGATGCTGATCCTAAACAATATTCCATAACAAGCTGTATGGGAAGAAATCAAAATAGTTGTTAGAAAAATCTCTATTAGTAAATTAATGTTTTCTAGATTTCTATGGAGAAATCTTGAAATAATCACTGGTGCACACAATGCAGACTGCTGTAACAAAACAAGTATTGCTTGTAACATAAGCCCCATCCTAGCACTGCCACACTGACCCCTCCCACAAGGATAGCTCTAACTGGAATTAGCATAGTCTTCCTGCATAAGATATCAAGCAATAAAACCTATGAGGAATGCAAAAGCATATTTATGACCAGTTATGTGTTGTATTACATATCTTATTTTATATGCACGTACTTAACAGGAATGTTAAATTGCACTTAACAAGCTTATCAGAGTATTAAAGGGCTACTTAGGGATTTACTTAAGATTTTGTCCCAGCCAGATTTCAAAAAAAGAAACTAAAACATTGTCTTACAGATTTATTGAAGCTAATACATGAACAGTACTCACAATTTCAACTATTAGTTCAACAGTACAATTTCTTTAGTGTATTGTACTACAAAAACTTTGTCAGTGAGAGGTGTACATCACACTTTTTGTTTGACAAAATGCTTCCTCTTCATAGCCAATCGCATCTATTCCTGCGCACACATTTTTATGCACACAAACTCAAATAACCCAAATTTAGTTGGCGGGGGGGGGGTGTGTGTGTTGGTTTTCTTTTTTCTTTGTTTAAATCAAATGTAAGAAATTAACTAGGAGTTGACAGCCAGAGATAAAACCAGCTAGTTGGTTTTGTCACCTGGACACACACAGAAAAATGACAACAGAAGTAAACAATATACAACAGAAGAATTTAGTTAAAGAATAGAAATACTAATGACTCAAAATATACTTTAATTACAATTATCAGTAGGATAATTCTAACCTATTCCATTAAAGTACAACTGAACACTTATTTCTGGAACATATTCGGTCAACCTGTAAAGTAATGAACCATTAATACTCAGTGGCATACCAAATACATTGTTAAATGACCTGCAAGTATCTAATAAAGTTCCCATACTTGCCTCCCAGGCAGTACAAGTGAAATTCTCACCTTTCCTTACAGCAAGAAAAGCGATGGATAAATTTGTTGCCCCGCTCTCCCCTGGCTCCATTATTATTTATTTCAAATACTCAGTCCATCAAGCTAAATACACTAGAACAACAGCACAAGTGAAAGGGAAAATTTCCCTAAATCTTGTTTCCAAAAACTACATTCCGTTCTGCTGAGCATCTGTAAGGTCCTCAGTTATTCTCATCTGAGTCTGTGCAATGCAAGTGTTCAGGTGTCTCTTGAAAGTCAGCTGGAGATATTTTAAAGTGCCCGTAACCAAGGCAAGAGAAGTGCAGAGTGCAGCAGATGCTTACCCATGCTGTATGCTCCCGCAAATAGCAGCCTTTGTATTCTATACTGTTAGGGTGTTTTATTCTTTGGAGGAACTTGACTTCCTTAATAATATCCTGCCATTTCTGTAGAAAATAAAAGGGAAAGACTTTATAAAACTGTTACTACTTTTTTTTTGGTTGTTGTTAAGTTAGCATGTAATTTAATTATTTTAAGAGGCAAAATCATCTCAAGGTTCCAAATCGAAATAATTTACATCAACACCATGATGCTCACTGCTTAACTCCTCAACAGATCTACAAAATAACTTGTTGATTGATTAGGCTGTATGTAAGGATCTCTCATCAATGTAATACTTTATATTTATATGTGTGCATAGAATATACTGATAAACACTTAACATCTGAGTAAGTCCTCAAAAAAGAAGCAACCCTTTTTTGAGGGTTATAATTTCTGTTGTCATATCAAACATACATCCGAACCTGAAAGAGATGTGGACGACAAGTGTCC